TCAAGTTTTCTCCACTGGCACTGGGAAGGGGGACAGTACTTGGAACAGTACTGTAATAATTTGATTATTTGAATCAAAACAATTCACAAACGTTATTATACTGACTAAACTTCTTAAATTTAAATATTTAGATTTGCACTGGTTTCACCCCGACAACATTTGTTAATTGTTTTGATTCAAATTTATATTACATTACTGACTACAGAAATTTGAAATGTTTGTTGATTTTCGTTGTCCAATCAGGGTTGAGTGTATTTTGAGTTGTTCAACGACTTCCGCTTTTTGTCCAGCAAACCCGGCACGCGGATATATTTTGGGCGAATTTTGTTATTCCCTCACGGATTTCAGAGCGAATTTAAGCTCTTTGATTAAAGCATCGTTGTGTTGAGAGTTATACGGTATCATTCTTGCCGGGGATATCGATTAATTGTGAAAGAAATGCATTAAAGGCGAAAAATCGAGGATAGTTTCGTGTGACATATGCCAGTCTGGGCTATTTTGGTCTCAATGTTTCCTTCCTTCCCTCGTTATAAGGAAGGCACAGGCGGGCGCGGGCAAATCGAGCCTGGGCTTCCTGTGGTAAATCGTGGGAGGTACGTTTGACATCCAGCAACTACGTGTAAAAGGGTTTCAGGGTTTAAGCAGAAGGAGCAATCAGAGTTGGACAATATTCCCCATTTAGTAAGGTTTTTACGAGTTGGAAGTGAGTTATTAATGTAACGAATGGTGAAGTTATAGATGTTCTTTGGGAGGTTTGATTGGGATTTAGACATAATAATAATAATAATAATAATAATAATACTAATAATAATAATGAAAACTTTATTAATAGAACATTTATAGTTTTATATACAAAAATTGGTAATTATTTATAGAAAATAGTTACTTTAACTGTTCATAATAATAATAATAATAATAATAATAATAATAATAATAATAATGAAATTATTGTCCTAATACCTATACCAATTAACTTTATATATTAATAATAATATAAAGGTTGCTAAAATCATTAAAAATCATTAAAAAACGTCCAATAAAAAATTGTTACTAAAATCATTAAAAATGTCCAATAAATAAGGTCCAAAAAGGATCAAATTAATGGATCCTTGCCGATATTGTCTATATTTCAATATCAATGTCCCCTGGGTTACAGTGTGCTCTTCTAAACATTCTTGAGCCTCGTATGCATAGCAGCGCCGATCTAAGGATTGAAAACGATATCTTTGCTCTTAACCACGACATAGTCCTCGAATATGTCTCTCCTTTCTTCTCAGCAAGTAGCTCAGCTAGTCGACAGTGATACCTCAAGCACTCCTCTCCCATTCCACCAGTTGTGGTAAAGACTAATGGTGTAAATGTTCCCTGTTCAATATATGTAACCCGGTTGTTGTACATACGTTTCCTTTCATTCTCGCGTGGATAGGATAGATGTGTACAGGAGTTAGCATTTGGGTGACATACCCTTTGCCTCTCCCAAAAGCCACGTGAATGTACGTCAAGTCGATCGTCAAGTGAACGATTTGCGCCTGGGTTTAATGGTTCACCATTTATTTCTTGTAGGATAGGTTCAATCTGAACATAATTACAAACAATGTTTAGAAGTTCAGCTTCTAAATCCCGTAATTGGTTGTGGCGTTGAATAATAAACCCCCCTCGACCGCATATCATAGCATGGTCTACGTTGAAAGGCACTCCACATGCGCAGTTTGATGGGATATCACTAAGTGGCCAATCGTATCTCAGCTTTAAAGCATCCTTAAACTCTCGCTTGTTCAAATTGAAACCCATATCTGAAATTGGCACAACTTGTAGCCAAGCAGAAGCTCCTTTTTCTGATGCAAGGTCTTGCATACGTTTTGATTTTGGCGATACTGAGTTGATAATAAGATCAGCTTTCTCTTTTGCGATTTCATTTTTTCTCTTGCCTTGCTTTCCATTTCAGTGCTTGTACGTCCGATTGGTCAGGTAATTCATGCATTTGTGATTCAATTTGACGTACCAGTGGACCTGTTACTTGTATAGAGGCTGCGTATTCCTTCGTTGCTTCATGACATGGATTTGGAATTCCAAGACCACCATTTCGTATGGGTAAAGCCAGAATGTCACGTTCAAGCTGGGTGCATTCATGATCTGTCAACGGCGGTAGAAAGATGTTGGAAATTGCATTCTCTAAAGGTTGTATCAAATCTTGAATGTCTGGTAATGTTCGGAGAAAATATGTCCATCGGCCGGTGTTTCAGACCAAACGTATATACTGCGTAGCTCGCCGTTGAGGTTGTGACACCGCAAATTTGGCTAACTTGGTTACTTCTTCTAACCATCCATCGACTTTCTCATTAACATATTCAAGCAAATATGACCGTGATCCCACAGCTGCTCCTAGATGTTTCCGTCCTTGCGTTGTTATGTTAATTGTTGTTTCCCCAAATGACCCTCTTGCAATATTTTCTTTCTGCGGTTTTACGATCAACCAACATTTCTCACCTTTTGGGTAATAACCATAATCAGGCCCGATTTCAGATAACGTATCCCACCACTTATTTACCTCTGTTACAGACCCTACACCACTTGCATCGTCTGCAAACCAGCACTGCTTGGCAGAACTTAAAACATGGAGGTGTGTGATGAGTGGCTGAAGACTAATTGCGTAGATGGCCATTGACAAAGTGTCACCCTGTGTTGTTCCTTCCGAAAATTTCAACTCCTGCCCACCCACTACAAACAATCGTGACGGTAGTCTGTACGTGTTGATGGCGTAGACTGCAATAGATGGGCAGAGGACACTGGAATTATGAAGGGCAGCAGCCCTGTTTAAGGCATTAAAGGCGTTGGATGCATCAATCAACAAGACCGCATCTGTACCATCTGCATCAAAAGTATTTCGCATAGCATGGACTGCAGCCTCACTTCCCGCCGGTTGACCTGCACAAAGTTGAAGTGAGCCGCTTACTTCCAACACCTCTGGTTTAACAATCTTCATCACACACTTACTGATACATGATAATTCTTCTTAGCACTTCTCCAACACCGATGGGTCTAACGGCTCCTTCCCTTTTGTCTAAAGGGATTAGACGACTTGCTACCAAAGCCTCGATTAGAGTTGGATCAACAAATTCAGTACACAGAGTCTTTGTTAAAGTGCCTAAGGCTTCACAAAGGGCGGTGGAGGATTTTTGAAGGATTTACAAGCAAGTATCCTCTTGAATCCATTAGCATCAACCCCGGAAGGCCCTCCAGAACCTTTCGTCCTCAAGGCAGCCTCTCTTACCATCTGACCATTGATTGTAATAAATAAACTTTCTATTACTTCTTGCACTGGCCCACGAAGAAGAATGCCAATTTTCGCTTCTTCTGCTTCTGGGTGCTTTTGTCGTAATTGAAGCATGACGTCATTAGATAGGGGTAACACGCCACCATTACCCTCCTCGCTCAAGAAACGCATTGCTGAATTTATTTGACCTTCCATAACGAGCTTGGCAAAGATTTTTGCTCTGTCTGGAGGTTCTGATTTCTTACTCTTTCCAATGCGAGCTTGAATCATTCGCCCTTCTCTTAGCAGCTTATCAATTTGACCATCTTTCCACAAGGCCAAATGCTTCGTCAGACATTCTTTATGATCTTTCGCTTTAGATTTTGGCCCTGGTTTTTGCAGCCCAACAGCAAGGAGTACAAAGACAGCTTTCAGAGCAATATGTTGTTGTTCAGATTTACTGTTCCACTGATTGACATGCGTTGTTAATTGATCAATAATTTCTTTCTCTATCTTTCCATATGGTACAAGAAAGACGTTCTTTCTCCATAAGATAATTTCTTCATATGCTTTAATAATGTCAGATGATTGGGATAGAGATAGATAGAGATAGATCGTTTAGTCACCGTTGTCGCAAACCGATGACGTCATGAACTCTGTTTTAGCAACGTTTAAAGGCGGTTTTCCACAAGGCGAAATTTTTCGATCGAACCGAAATTTCTATTGTTCAAATTCAAAAGATTTCTGATTAGTTCCATCTGAGTGCTTGTAAGACAAAAGAAAATTTCGTAAAAGTCGTAAAAAATTTTTCCCGGAATTTTTTTCGACGGGGGGGGAGGTCAAAAAAATTTTCCGGATTAATAGAGTCAAAAAAAAATTTCCGGACTAATATAAGCATATTCAAAATTTTTCGACCAATATAAGCAATGCTTCCGATTTTTTCACCGCAAATGTAACTGAAGTTTTAAAATTGTTAAAAGTGCGAACCATTTCATTAATTTGAACATCTTCGACCATCTTATATCCCAAACTTTTACCAAATTTTTCCGAGTTTTATCTTCAATTTTAAGCAAATATCAATTCCATTTTGACCAACTTTGGGCAAATATTAGTTCCATTTTGACCAACTTTGACCAACGTTTGAATTATTGGGGGGCGGGGTGTTACACCCCCCACACCATCCCTATAGCGACGTCCCTGTCAACATCGCGAGCCCAAAGCTTGGAAAGTAGAATTTCATGGTCAATGGTGTCGAAGGCCTTCTTTAACTTATCGATGAAAACTACACTGTTTAAAAGATCCCTGTCGACAATGACACACCAATTATTGGTTGTTTCCAGCAAAGAGGTAAGAGTGCTATATGTGTGTCTAAAACCAGATTGGTAAGAATATTATTAATTAACTGATTGGATGTTAAAAAGTGTAGAATTGATCATAAACAAGTCTACCAAACACCTGAGCAATCGCGGAGATAATTGAAATCGGTCGATAGTACGTTGCTAAGACCACCCTTTTCTCCACTTTTGAAGATGGGGAACACTCTAGCCATCTTGCAATCGTCTGGGTAAATTCCATAGAAAGAGAATGATTATAAATGGCCGTCAGCGATGGGAACAGGATCTCAGCAGCAATTTTCAAAACCTGGACAGGATCGAATGTTATCAGGGCCAGTTGCTTTATTGGAATTTACAGCTTTAAGACAGTGGCGTAGCCAGGGTCTAAACTTTGGGGAGGGGGGGGGTTGCCTAAATGTTTATGGCATTTGAGGTGCGAGCGCCAAATGCGCGAATAATCTAGGGGGATCCGGGAAAATTTTGAATTTTTACATGCTATTTCACGTATTTTAGGACGAGGTGTGAAGAAAAGTTACAACCACAAAAAGCCATTTTGTTAGATCAAAAAAAAAATTTGTCAAACATTGTACTGTACACACAAATACAACAGGCTACAGCAAAGTAGCACGATGTCCTACGGTTTTTGAAGTGGAAATTATATTGTAATAAAAAGAATGAACTTTGAACTTTGACAGCTGTTATGTGCGTAGATTCAAGTTCAAATGTGCTTTCAACCACCATAGGCATTTTTTACTGGAGTTAGGATTCAAGATAGGGAACACTACAACTTTTATTGGTAAACAGAAGAGATGGGAATCATTATTGACACATCGTCCCCCCATTTCTAACCGGATTTCAGCTTTTCACAAGGGCAGTCTTCTTGCCCTCCTTATCTACGCCACTGCTGTAATAGTTTCGATTACCGTCTCCACATTTATTTGAGCGAAGGACAATGAGCTATTGACAGGATTGAGGTAAGAGATAAGGTCTATATCAGAATGAGGAAACTCATTAGCTAGACTGTCGCCTATCGTATAGTATCTCATCTTGCTGTATCGGTGTATCCGGTTATTCTATTGAGATCAGTGATCTGACCCGAACGTCATGTCCGTAAACTTTCGTAAAGCTCTCGTAAACTCTCGGAATATTGTTGAAATAATAGTTTCCAAAATAGATTTATAATTTCGCTCAAAACACATTTCGTTTTGGATTGTTTTGTAAATTTGTCGTATTTACTGCATTATCTGACGTCCAACTTCATCTTTAAAGAATCTGATTTTTTATTCCTGTATTTAACGACGAAAGAGACTCTACAATGTCGGAGAATGGAGGATATTTAAGGGTACGTCATAGATTTTGTGCTTTCGGTCTTTTGTGAAGACTGGCAAATTGAGAAAATGGATCTAATAATTCAAACGTTTTAAAGAATATAGCCGATAATAATGGACTAGTAAATGTAGATAGATGGGTAAAGATTTAATTTTTTTTTTGGAGACGTTATTTTTCTTTCAGGTTTAGAAACGAAAGGTAAAAGCAGATCGATTGTGACAAAATATTGAGATATATAGGCATAAAGTGTGTATTAAAGCTTTTAGCTTTATATTAACCTTTATTTATAGTTTGGGATGTTTACTGTTGTGCTTCAATGATCATGTATTAAATAATTTCAACTCTTTGTGCCCTTTTTTGTTGCTCACATTGCTATAAATGGTTTATGCCACTTACATTTATGCGATGTAACTATCGGTTAAGGGAATATATAGGCTTGCCAGATTGCAGATAAATATATTTGTGAGTTAAAATTGTGTTCACTGTTCAAGATGTAAAGATTTTGCATTTTAAATCTTAAAATAGTTTTAGAAGGATATTCGTATGATCCATGTTTAAACCACAATGAGCCCAATTTACAAGGATGGATCATCAGTTGATACACATGAAGTCATGAATAGACCTGGTTGGTCCTGACACAAAACACAGTGCAAGTAAAGAAGTATCAATTTTTCCTGACAGTTCATCTTATGATGCATTTACAGACCTGTCAATCTTAAAAATTAAAAACAGAGATTTTGCTTTCTAGCACTTAATATATGTGAGATTTTATCAAGAATTATCAAAGTAATATGCAGTTTTCAAAACAGTCATTATTGTATTCTCTTCAACAACTTGTAAATACTAACATAGCAGGAATGCAACTAGTTTTCGAGATCCCATGTGTCATCTCATATCCTTACCATAATCTATGTATTTATTATGTTTTGTGCGAAAGTGGATAAAAGGCCAAACACTTGTAGTTAATGGTCTGGAGTACATTTCAGCTTGGACACAAGTGATTTTCACAAGATTGCTGTTTCTTGCCAGATATTTGAATCTGAAAAATATTCCTGACCAATACTTCCTGACAATTAAAACAACCAACTGGGAGAAAATGCATAATAAATAATGCCTGCTTGGTTTGTCTGAAATGTTGACTAAAGCCTTGAGGTTTTACAGTATCATATCTTTAAATATTAAAGTATAATATCTGTCATTGATATTTTCTTCAACGAAGTGGCTATTCGTACTGGAATGTGGCACCTGATTCTTACATTAAAGTAGCAATATAAAATAGTTTTTTGCAACAGATTTTAGCGAGTTTGACGCTAGCGTATTCGGCAAAGGCGTTGCGTGCGTGCGAAGTGAAACGAGGTCGGGTCCGTGTTTAGTTTTAGCCGTCGGTTTTCTGTTGGCTTAGAAATTTTTCTTAAAATATTTTTAATTTTTCCCCCAGACTTTTTTAACTCTCAAAATGTTTATTAGACCTTTATTGGTTAGGGTTAGAGAAGGGGTTGGGGTCAGGTTTATCTTAAATATTACGACTGCAGTACGAATAGCAAATCAAACTCAGCGTACTGTTCCAGTACGAATAGCCATGGCGTTTCTTCAAATAATTAAAAGTTTGAAAGCCATCCAACCATGCTGAAGATATCTAACAACCATATTTAATCCAAACTAACTTCATTATTTCCCCTTAAATTAAAGACACAGTTCAGCCTTTTGAATGATGGTTTTTAAGGCACATTTACAACCCTGAAATTAATTGAAAAAACTATCAACTAGGAAAATCAATTTTAGCATAATTCAGAATCAGTGAAATCAATGTTTTTAACATTGGGAATGTTAAAAAATGTTAAAAACATTGAGATCATTGATCTTGAATTATGCTTAATGAGCCTGAAGTGAGCGTGTGAAGCAGCAGTCTAATTTGTACAGAGAGGCGTCTGTTCAGTAAATTTTTCTAGAGTGTTGCATTGTGGTCATGCTCAGTTGTTGTGCGCAGTACACATCCACCCGACTCCATGTGCTTTGACTCACTACACTTTAGTATGTTATATAATTTACCTCTACGTCTTAAGAATGCTTTGTCATTTGTATTCATACACGTACTAAAGCAGCGAGTAATTGAACATATTCCACTTGTTCTTGAAAATATATATTCTTTCTTCGGTGAATATTACTTCCATAAACGTTAAGAGGCAACTTATTTCAATGTCACATATTTGCAATGAAAAGTATTCAAAACCTAAAATCTTTTTGGTGTTCCTCTCAAAATTACTTTGTTTTAGCTTTATTCTCTAGTTTATAGAGTTAGCTACCTTTTTAAATGCATCTGCCGGTTGAGAAACATAAAATAATAGTTAAAAATTGTCAATTAAAATACAATTATCAATGATGCTTTAAAATTGACGCCATATTTACAGCCATTATAAGCAAAACTTACTGAACTTCAGACATCATTTTCTCTTTGCCCTACCATCTAAGATCTCTTCATTTTAGCATTATTTTACTGTACAGATAAAGCACTAAACATACTTTTCAAGTTTGTCTGCCCATTGAGAAACGTATCGAAAAATAAAAATTTTGAATTTGGTTATAACCTCAAGTGGTATATTATACGCATTAGTTTTGAGCATGTGTTACGTAACATACAAAAAAATCTCCTCTTAATATTAACATGCAAATATTCAATGAGACGCACTTTAATATATCTGTCACCTGTGATTGCCCATTGGCAACAAATGCATTGCTTTTTCTCAGTTACACTCATGGCATGAATCGATTCTGTATCCTTAAGGCTTAAGCTTCGGCCACAATGCTCACCAGTCGCTGGCTCGCTGCGAGTAATAACTGTGCTTTATATAATTTGTACTATTTAGTTCTGTTTGCTCTTAATGCCCGCAGCAATCCCTACCTTGCAGGTACCCTAGTTAAAAGGGTTGTAATGCACCTTAAAACCCATCATCCAAAGGCTGCACTGTGCCTTTAACGTGCTGTTTTAATGTTTTTTGGAAACCTATTTTTTATGAATGTCTACATCAGCATAGAATTACCCTAATGCCTAATGGATACAAGAATTCTGAAAAATACAATTGATTTAGTTGACAGAATCGGAAAATGCAACAGAATCAGAACGTGAACCAATGTTGAATGACACAGCTCCACCTGCTTCTACACCGTCATCACCTCCACCATCATACTCACCAAGTACAACCCATGATGAATCACCTGCAGGTAATTCCTTTCTTACTCTGGTGGCACTGCAATTTGCCAAACATTGAAAAATGCATTTCAACATTGAAAAAAACATACAACTTAAGGCGCTGTTACACTAAGCAACTTGTCTCGGAACTTGTCTCGCAATGTTAAGAAAAACAATTTCAGGATTGCATTGCAAGGGATGTTACACCAAGCAATATGTTCCACAAAACTTGCAATGATCATTATTAAAAATAGCATAAAAACCGCGAGTGCTAACGTTTGGCACCGTATTGTCAGTCAAAAGTCAATAGGAAGCCATTCAGTGTATAAACATTGCGAGACTTAAGTTGCAAGAGGGATGTTACACAGTGCAATGCTTTAAAAATGTGCTGCAGCGTTGCCGCAATCGTTGCAAAAAGTAGAACCTGATTCTACTTCGTGCAATGGTTGTTGCAACAAAAATATTGCGAGACTTGTTGATTGCGAGGCATGATACACCTTGCAATTTCGTGTGCAACTTGTGTCGCAACAAAATTGCGAGGCAAGTTGAGAGACAAATTGCATAGTGTAACAGCGCCTTAATTAGTCCCTTTTTTAATAATCTAGTATCTGGTTTGCAGATAGTTTAGAAAAAGTAATGGATGTGGCAGTCACCTCTTGCTGCTCCTAGTGTCCTCTGGCCACTGCTGTTTCAGTGGCAGAATTCACCAATAACTATATATAATTAGTGACTCTACAGTAGATACCACAGTCTTTGGCACTATGGGACATGTGCTGTTAATTTACACAATTTGAAAGGCCAGTTCAATGTTGGGTGGACAAAAATCTGATGTCTGATTGCAGGATGCCAACATTGAAATGGAGGGGGTGCATGGGATAGTGGAAAATGTATCAATGAAGATATGGTATAACATCTGAATGCATGTGAAAAGTAGATTGTCCCATTGTATATACTCAAAGATTGTAGCTCTTGTAAGTTATGAGGAAGGTCACATGGAAAAATATCTTAAGTTTTCCCTATATCACTTTATGGAATTTTTTTGTAGTTTGGCATGCATTGGGGCTGTTGGGAAGAGTTGACTTCGATTTCTGGCCATTCATTATATTGAGTGGGATATAAAGAACTCTCAATTAAGCTATCAATCAGTTACAAGCTTTCATTGGTAGGGATGCAACAGTTATATTGTTCAGGTAGTTGCATCCCTACCAACAAAAGCTTGTTATTATTGGCACTACTTACACTGAAACAGACAGTTCAAGATTATATCAATCAATTAAGCTACTGCCTCAATGGGGATTGGAAGATTATTTGAAAGAAATTTTTATACAATCAAAGTGCACAACATATTTTTCGTGATGACCTAATTATCCTTCTCTCATACTGTATATAAGCTTTTTTTTCCATAAAATTGAAGTACAGTATTTATTATTTAGCGCATATTCTTATTATTTGATTGAATATTGAGTGTAAAAAATCCCTAATGTTCTGAATGTATTTGTCTTATTCATACATGTATTGCTGAATATTCAATAGATTCTCGAGTTTTACAATTAATGTTAGAGAGTTTCTTTGTTAAAGTAATCAATATAACTGATACAGTCGGTACAGTACGTAATGATCGGCAATGCAACATGTTTCAATTAAAAATTCCCACAATTGGCAATATATTTTTAGAAAAAAATGTGAATCATTGTTATAGGTGAGAGCAGTGTTAATGAAATGCCTCCTGCGTATGACGTAGCTGCGAAACTACCAACCTATGAAGAAGCTGAAATGACCAAACACTCCGATTCAAGAGTAAGTCAGATGTTTAGTACATTTTATACATCCATTCATACAAACAAAATTAAGTCGCAGCCCTTAGTCCCATTTACACGTTACCGGATTACTTCCCATATCAGATTCTCCAATCCAATACAATACAAGATTTGGTTTTTGTTACACAATACCAGAATTAATGTTCACTTGATATATATGCAAGTGGATTAAGAACCTTGCATAACCAAAGAGATGATTTTTGTGCTACTTTTAATTTAATTAAGAACAAGTATGGGTTGACTTTATTTTTTGTAATTCGCTGCAGCTACTTTGAAACTTATGTGACTCACGTAATTTTCCAATGAATAAATTTAAGAAAACATTACATAAAGTATTAGTTTCTATATTTACAAATGAGGAGGATTATGTTGATATCGCTACGTTTATAACAAAAAGATTGAAAAATATAACAATTAAGGATAAATTCAGCTAAATTCTTCTAAGGATAAAATATTATCATTGCATATATATTTTGAAACTTATATGTCATTTTGATCTCTATAACTCGTAGTATAGTCTTCCAGTTGTCTGCCTCGAATAGCTTTCGCTACCTGCAGACAACTGTTAAATTTTTGTAAATTTTTTGTTCTTTTGATTAAATTACTGTTACTGTTAATTACAGCTGTTACTGTTAAAGTGTAGTCATGCACCTACAACTATACTGCTACTTAACTTGACAAGAAATGTAGTTCGCTACTGACTATAGCTATTGTTTAAAGTGCATGCCTATGACACGAAATTTCACCCCAAATGTTTATGATTGCATTGTAAAGATCACTTAAAACGACTTAATAATATCTTTATAGAATTTTGGTAACTTGCTTCCTTTTCAAGATATTCGACTTTGTTTCATATGCAAATACTGTATCACCGGTGTGACATCACATCACAATGAGTTTTCAGAAAAGTATAGTTTTCTTGACGAATACGTATCTAAAAAACTTAAAAATTGCCCTTGTATATGTATTAAATTTCATAACTGGTAATTAACCCTCTGTGTTTGTTAAAATATTTTATCAAGGTAAAATATTGCGTTTTCAAAATGTCATTATGCGATGTGATGTCACACCGGTGATATTTGCATATGAAACAAAGTTGAATATCTTGCAAAGGAAGCAAGTTACCAAAATTCTATAAAAGAAATTATTAAGTCATTTTAAGTGATCTTTACAATGCAATCATAAACATTTGGGGTGAAATTTCGTGTCATAGGCACTTTAAGCAATGTAGCAAACTATTCGCTACAACAAAATACCTTATTCATAATTTCGTACTTAATTTTGCGCGACTTTAATTAAATAAAAATCCTCGCAAAATTTACACATGCGAAATTATATATGTGTACACTAGTTAAAAATTTCGATCATAAAATTCTTGATAACAACATGTACAGCTTACAGTATATATCGACATAAATAACAAATTATTTAATAATAGACAGTAGTATATTAAGCTATATAACGAGATTTCGTTGGTAGGTGCAACTACATGTACCTGAAAAATATATAAGGAGAATTTTGACGTTTCGAGCCCTTCGTCTCAGTGGAGTTCTGTACTGTAATTCAGTAACTCCTTCGTTCGAAAGTCGAAACGTCGAAATTCTCCTTATATTTTCAGGTAGTTGCATCTCTACCAACGAAAGTTTTGTTAATATTATTCATTGGCACAGACAGTTTCGTATTAAGTTCGTATTTTGTCTTGTTACCGGCAATAAAGATGAGTAAAAAGATTGTGGACTACCGTATACAGACATGTACAGTATCTACTGCATGTATATTCCTTATGTTGACTTGTTTTGAAAGTTGTTAGTAGTTCATCATATAGAAAATCAAATGTTGTTCAGAAAGTTTTCGCGAAATTTAATGCTCTTTTTCAGTTTTTCTATTTTCGCCTGCCAAAATCGCGAAATTAAGTTCGCGCGAATTAAAGTAAGTACGAATAAGGTGTTGTATCTTGCTTTCCAGTTTCCACGTTTGTAATTTACACTCACTGATGTCATGTGTTCTTCTAATTTGTAATTTGAATGGCAAGAAAGATAAGAAATAGACCTACCGGCGGCAAAAACCGTATATATTTTCTACATGCAGTTAGTATATATAACTAAACTATAACCAGCATTCTCTACTCGTTACCATTGCTTATTGAGTACTTTATGTAAAATTTTGACACAAACTTGAGCAAAAGAAAGGTGGTGGTAGTATATCAACCACTGTCACGGACACAAAAGCGGTGAGCATCTGGATCGTTTGTCAAGACGAAGTATCTGTGAAGTTCAACTTTCTACACAGACGTGCATGCACACGCGACCTGTCTTGAAGGATGGTCCGTTTTTGTATTAACCTCACTGACAATTAAGTTATCGGAGAAACTCAGCTAGCTAATCGCTGACTAACTTATCGCACTGAGTTACTGCAGTGTTACTGTCGTTCCAATTGAAGTGTTCCTCAAATATTGATTCAATACATTACCTCGGGCTGACCAATTCATTTGATAGAAAATTGATCAACTTCCTGTTACTTTTAAATGAGCCAATTAGATTTCGTTTCAGAACCGATTGACCAATAGGAAACGCACAGGAAGTAAAAAAAATTTGAATTCGTATGAATTGGTCAGCCCGAGGTAATGTATTGAATCAATATTTGAGGAACACACTTCAATTGGAACGACAGTAAAACAATATTGCAATACTGGGCACTGGCAATGTAGGAAAACCTTGGTGGTGCATGGACTAAGGGGACAAAAATATTGCATCCTCTGCTAGTGAGATTTGTTGATTTTAATATTACTTGTATCGTGTAACCAAATTGAATATCTGAATCGATATGCATGATTGCATGGATAGTAATCCGCTAGGAGAGTAATTCGGTATCATGTAACTGGTAAAGGCGGATCTCCACTAGACGATTTTTGAGACGATGTTTATGACGATCGTCATAAAAATTCCTGACGATTTAGAGACAAGTGGAGATGTACTAGCAGCAAGAAAAACAGCGCGGAATCTTATTGGTTGAAAATATGACGATCGTCAAGCGCTCGATGAAAAGTAGAACTAGTTTCTACTTTTCGTCGAGCGCTTGACGCTTCTTGACGATCTCTTTTACGATCATTTATTTCCTACTGCGCATGTTCGTGGCGAATTTTTCAGACGATCGTCATAAAAATCGTCTAGTGGAGATCCGCCTTAAGGTTGAAAAAGTCACAAAGGACTTGTGCGTTAATTTTATACTGCAGCGAATGTTGCTTATTTAAGACTGGCTTTCAACTCTTTCTTATTTTGGTCTCAGCTTACAAACAAGTGACCTTTTATATGTCATTCATAATTTATTTATACAGGCTGGGATTTTAGGCTTCTCTCCTTGTAGTGACTTTAGTTTAATACACACCAGTTGTTTGTATATTACATGGATTAGCATGATTGCTAATAGACAATTCCCATTATAGACTAATTTAAAAACGTTGTAAAACGCGGAAATTATAGCCTTGCAAAGTTCGCAAATTTTGTATACTTTTGTATTGCGTGCGGAAATTGCTACCACATTTGGGCCGAAAATGGTAGGAGTTTTCGCACGCAATACAAAAGTATACAAAATTTAGTATGCTCTTTCTAGCTGTGGTGATTTATTTGCATCTCCTTGCTTAATTTAAAATTATAGTCTATAATGGGAATTGTCTGTTGCTATAATGTAGATTTCCATTTTTTCATGATTATAGTTTGAACCAAGTGGACTAAGAGATCGGGACGAGTGTAGTAAGTCCATCCGTTTATTTTTATTTTATTACACTAAAGTTATACAGTGTGTATTAAAAGAAAGTAGAACGCAGCTTCAAAGGGATGTTTTTCTTAATTAACTTATCTGCATGGCTTAAAAATACAGTATATTCGTATACAGGGTGTATAAAAAAAGTACACAGTTGGAAAACGTTCACTAAAGTCAGATGCACGCGACATTTGCGAAATTGCGACGTTCAGTAAGCCTATGTACTTTAACGTTCTCTGGTACATCTATAGCACTAAAATTATTTAAAATGCTAGCGTTTTTAGAGTAGGAAAGTTGTTATTAAAAGTCCCCCCAAAAAAGGCTTGCGCAAAAACATTTTTCATCAGAAACAAATTTAATCACACGGAGTCAAAATATGGACTGTCTTGCACAAGCTGTCAAAGTTTCAAGACATTTGGTGCACGTGTAGGCCAACGCGAGATCTTCAAAACCTGGATTTTCTCCCATTTTGTTAGCCTGCGCGCAAACTATAAGTCTGCGAATCCGTGGCATGAAGCTTGTATGGTCACGTGAATTTCCCGAGAAAAGTTGGGACGAATTGTGATTGGTTGAACTATAATTATGCAAAATTAATGTTAATTCATCGGACATTGCGTTCGCAAAACGCATTGGGCTGTTCAAAATTGACCGTTTCCAGGGTCACATGACAATGTTTATAAGGGGCGAGATTACAGTTGTATTTATAGAAGTGTGGCGGAACAAGAAAGGCCGTTATTTTCAAAACGAAAAGCCCATTTCGCCAAACAGAAGATGTAAGACTAAGATTTAACAGCTATTCGAGATTTTCGAGATTTTACAGCTATTCGAGATTTTACAGCTATTCGAGATTTTCGAGATTTTACAGCTATTCGAGATTTTACAGCTATTCGAGATTTTACAACCATTCGAGACTTCAAACTTATTTGCTATATCAACAAAACTCTTGCCTCCCTTAAATTTGATTTCGTCTATAATATTACATCTTCTGTTTGGCGAAATGGGCTTTCCGTTTTGAAAACAACGGCCTTTCTTGTTCCGCCACACTTCTATAATCTCGCCTATGGGCGGCCGTTACCACCAAAAATACTACACGTGTGAAATGAATGGACATAAACAGAAATCATTCATTACAAACACGAACGAGTCATCATGTTTAGAAATGCTTGAACCTAACGTAGAGATATGACTGGACAAGTCCAGAAATGATTTGTTTAAAATTGAAACGATTCACTTGATTGTGTATTCATTCGTCTATTATTGCGCTGATTCATATAGTTCAAGTGAAATGGCTTGGCATATTTTGCAATGACTTAGCAGGTCGTATACAAGTGACACGTTCGGTTGGCAAATAATTCATGCTTTATTAGAACAATCCGCTGTGTTTTAAAATTGCTCAACTAAATACGAAGTGATTCAACTAAATGGGACATGATTCAACCTTATGTGAAATAAATAAACTAAATGTGAAACGACTCAATGCAATGTGAAATCACTCAGTTAAATGCGACATCGTTCAACTAGATGTGACACGATTCAATACCATGTGAAATCACTCAACTAAATGTGAAATCATTCAACTAAATGTGAAATGATTCAACAAGATGTGAAGTGATTCAACAAGATGTGAAATGATTCAACTAAATGTGAAATGATTCAACTAAATGTGAAATGATTCACGTCCACGTGAACTGACACGACATGTTTGAACTGACGTAATTTGTGCGGTCTTGGCACGTCTTGTTGTGAAGTGATTCATCAAGTTGTGAAGTGAATCAACAAGATGCTTCCGTCTTATTGATTAAACTTCATTCGACGAAAATTTACCGAAATCACAATGAAATTTGTGGGAATAAAATTTACATATGGAAATTCACCGCCCGAAATGAAAATTAACTATCGATCAAAGTCCTTTCCTCGACTCGCAATTCAACGTTCGCAAATAGCAATTTTATATCGCGACATTTCCCAAGCTTTTGTGTGCGTTTTGACGGAAAAAATATTTCTCCTCGAAGATCTCACTATAAAGACTATGTGTTTAAAGATTTATAATCTGTTTTTAACCTATATTCCCTTGATATTTTCTGTGTTGTTGTAATGTACTCGGGTGAATATGATGCTTGTGATGCTACTCTGAGACCCCGTTCACACGATACCGGCAGAGTATGCCGTGTAAACGCCTAACCGTAAGAATTTCATTACGGTTATGCAAAATGAAATTAACAAAACTGCAAAAGTTGTTGTTGGATATTTTATTCTTTTTATTTTAACTGATTTTTGGCCTCCCCGGGCCAAATTTCGTAGGAATATGGCCCTCCCTTCGGAAATTTGCCCCCCTCTAAAAAATTATAGTTTCAGCTTTATCTTTTGGCTCGGAAATCGCAAAGCTTCTACAAAAACCAAATTTCTAGAAATTTTTCCCAACATTTATAGTTAGTTTGCGTATATTTTTTGTGTCAAAACAAAATTCTCACTGAATTGCAATACTGACGAGAATTAGGCCAAGAGAATTGCTTACAACACTGACGGATTTTATGTAGCTGCTGCATGTAACCTTTGTATTTTTTGCGTGTTTGCGGAATGTTTTTGTGAGTCATCCAAAGTTTGCGGAATGTTTTGTTAGTCATTCAAACCTTTGTGATTTTCTGTGTGCGAATGTTTTTGTGAGCCATGTAGAGTGCAGTCTATTTCCGTTTTTACGGAATGCTTCTGTAATGCGTCGCAACCATATGAGCGATTATATATATTGTGTATATGTAAGTAAAATGCATAGATTAAAAAAGTTTTTTTACGAAATAACCAAACGTATAAAAATCGTTTCGTATCCTTAGTTAAAGCTAAGCCATTAACGTTGCCCTCAACAGATACCCATGTGTGATGTGTCTGGCATGACGGCACTAGCACATTATTATATTTACGCTTTCCTTCAAACTTTTAGTTCTTGGCCGCAATGAAGGATTTCGACACAAATAAATTATGCAAACTAACTATAAACACTGACAAACACTTTTAGGATCTTGGTTTTAGAAGAAGCTTCACGATTTCCGAGCTTATAGCGATAAAATAAACTATGTTTTCGAGGGGGCCAAATTTCCGAAAAGGGGGCATATTTCCTAGGAAATTTGTCCGGGGGGGGCAAAGTTGGGGGGGGGGATTTCCTGGGACACCGGTATCGTGTGAACAGTTGAAACCGTGATGATTTTCTGCCGGCAGAATTCCATGCCGGTATCGTGTGAACGGGGTCTGAGTGTATATCCACAACGGGCAAGCTTGAAAAATATGCCTAACCACGGTGGGAATCAAACCTAATTGAACCGCGTAGCTCGGCAGTTGGCAGCGCACTGGGCTAGTATTCCAAAGGTCGTAGGTTCGATTCCCACCGTGGTCAGGCATATTTTTCAAGCTTGCCCGGTGTGGATATACATTCAGAGTAGCATCACAAGCATCATATTCACCTGAGTACATTAACAACAACACAGAAAAAATCGAGGGAATATAGGTTAAAACAGATTATAAATCTTTAAACACATATCTTTATAGTGAGATCTTCGAGGAGAAATATTTTTCCGTCAAAACGCACATAAAAGGTTGGGAAATGTCGCGATATAAAATTGCTATTTGCGAACGATGAATTGCGAGTCGAGGAAAGGACTTTGATCGACAGTTAATTTTCATTTCGGGCAGTGTTCACAACTTGATGAATCACTTTACAACAAGACGTGCCAAGACCGCACAAATTACGTCAGTTCAAAACATGACGTGTCAGTTCACGTGGACGCGAATCATTTCACATTTAGTTGAATCATTTCACATTTAGTTGAATCATTTCACATCTTGTTGAATCATTTCACATCTTGTTGAATCATTTCACATCTTGTTGAATCATTTCACATTTAGTTGAATGATTTCACATTTAGTTGAGTGATTTCACATAGTATTGAATCGTGTCACATCTAGTTGAACGATGTCGCATTTAACTGAGTGATTTCACATTGCATTGAGTCGTTTCACATTTAGTTTATTTATTCCACATAAGGTTGAATCACGTCCCATCTAGTTGAATCATTTCGTATTTAGTTGAGCAATTTTAAAACACAGCGGATGGTTCTAAAAAAGCATGAATTATTTGCCAACCGAACGTGTCACTTGTATACGACCTGCTAAGTCATTGCAAAATACGCCAAGCCATTTCACTTGAACTATATGAATCAGCGCAATAATAGACGAATGAATACACAATCAAGTGAATCGTTTCAATTTTAAACAAATCATTTCTGGACTTGTCCAGTCATATCTCTACGTTAGGTTCAAGCATTTCTAAACATGATGACTCGTTCGTGTTTGTAATGAATGATTTCTGTTTATGTCCATTCATTTCACACGTGTAGTATTTTTGGTGGTAACGGCCGCCCATACTCGCCACACTTCTATAATCTTCTGTAATCTCGCCCCTTATAAACATTGTCATTTGACCCTGGAAACGGTCAATTTTGAACAGCCCAACGCGCGTTGCGAACGCAATGTCCAATGAATTAACATTAATTTTGCATAATTATAGTTCAACCAATCACAATTCGTCCCAACTTTTCTCGGGAAATTCACGTGACCATACAAGCTTCATGCCACGGATTCGCAGACTATATATGTCATTATATACTGTAGTCTGCGCGCAGGCTACCATTTTGTTAGTTCAAACGCGATTTCTTTGCATAATTTCAAATTAATTTTATATGCATGCTCGGACGTTTGCATTAATTACAGTACGAAATTCGCAAGCCAATTCCCAAAGGTCCTAAAAGAGTTTACAAAATTATTGACATGCGGTGCTTATTTACAAACAAAATCAATCTTCAACAGTTCAACGTGCCTTCCTATGTTGAAGATTGATTTTGTTTGTAAATAAACACTGCATGTAAATAATTTTGTAAAATGACCTTTGGGAATTGGCTTGCGAATTTCGTACTGTAATTTATGCAAACGTCCGAGCACGCATAAAATTAATTGGAAATCATGCAAGGAAATCGCGTTTGAACTAACAAAATGGGAGAAAATCCAGGTTTTGAAGATCTCGTGTTGGCTGGCTACGCCTCCACCAAATTTCTTGAAACTTTGATAGCTTGTGGAAGACAGTCCATATTTTGACACTGTGTGATTAAATTTTGTTTCCGATGGAAAAAATTTTTGCGCAAGGCCTTTTTTTGTTTTTTTTAGTAACAGCTTTCCCACTCTAAAAACGCTAGCATTTTAAATAATTTTATTGCTAGATGTACCAGAGAACGTTAAAGTACATAGGCTTGCTGAAAGTTTTCGCAAATGTCGCGCGCATCTGACTTTAGTGAACTTTTTCCAACCCTGTATATGTATTGTATCTATAGAAACATCTTTAAATATCAAGGTACGTTATTTTACACTTCTGCGACTTGTTGAACAGAATTCAGTTTTTGCTTATCATGTTAACGGTGAATCGTTTCGGTTGACGAAGTCTTTAGATGACGTTTACAATTTAATGGTTATGTTATATTTGATATGAAAATGTTCAGAATCTGAAAATTTGACGTGAATTTTATTCCCTCGTGAGAGAGTCATGGACTAGGAGGCGAAGCCACGTTAGCCACCATGTACCTGTGGGCTTATTTTTGCAGTAGTTTAAATTATTTCGACTTGATCTTGGAGTTAAAGGTGGCTGAAGTATATATAGCGTCAAGGAACGTAAACGGCTTGGTTTGCCTGGACGTTCTTGTAAGTGCTTTTTTTTTGTTTTGTGAAATGGATACATGCGACGTGTTGCTTTTACTACTTTGCCGAGTTTCCGCGCCGAAATTTCCTCGTCACAAAGTCGTAAAGGAATTTGAATACGTTACATGAATACATGTACGTACAATGTAGCGTTTGTATTTTCAATAGATACAGTACGCACTCAAATATTGTATGTGGCATTCTCTGATAAAGCATAGCTGCATGTGTCTGCTAAAATTCTGAACATTTGCATAACAATTTTTTTTGAAATAAGAAAACAAATATTTTTTATATGAATGGCATTTCAACAAGCGTCAAGCTGTAATTGTGTCAATCTTATTTTCTAGGTGCACAACTTGGCACAGATAGTCTGTTTGCTCTATGCTTTCTTGGTAAGTATTTTTTTTAAAGTTTTCCTCTTGATATTCCAGTTGCACCTCACCTCAGTTGCTGTTCAAAGCTCCATAAATCGTAACCATAATGTTTTTATGCACTAGTAAGCGAACCAGTAGTGAAGCGAACACGCCAGAACAGAATGTAATATGGTTGAAATCTTGATTTTTGGTCACCGTGATTAATACATAATTAGGGAGCTGAAGCAAGCGACGTTTTTGTCAACACGGACGTCACACGAAAATTAGTATAACCATGGATAATAAAATAAATGGATAGGAAACTAGCTGACGTGACCTAATGTTTTTACTGTGATTGTTGGCGTGGTTGGATGCCTCAACCTAGTTGAAAATCAAATTCTCAAAAACGGCATGCTTATAGCAATAATACAGCTAAACATTTTAGTCAAAGAGCAAATAAATATAACCACGCCATTCTACGATGAAAACTCTAAGTATTCCCAGTCAATTTTAGCAAATATTTCAAGCACTAAACAGTGAAAAATACATCGCAAATTTCGTTAAAATTTGTGACGCCAATTTCGTAGCTACAAATGTAAAAAAATACAGAACAAAGACGAAAAACATTTACCTTGAATACTTTGTCGTGGCTTAGGCATGTTTTTAAAACAATTAGACCAGTTTACGCTTCAAGATCACCCTTTTAAAGTGGAAAATATAGCAAAACAACAAATATGCCGAGAACTTTGGTAACATTCGCAATGCGCGTGACGTCACGTTTTTCAACAAGGATGCAGTCAATGACGTCAGAAGTTTCCAATCCATTTATTTTATTATCCATGGTATAACTAATATAACGGCATTTTGCATTACAGCTCTCATGTAAGGAAGCGAAAAACTATAAATTATGATTAATATAAATCTTATATGTTTTGTCATATGTGTTGAAAATTACCACAAACTGACACAAACACAGTTTTTAATCCAGCCTCCCCTTGGCAGTTCGTGTTGACAAAAACGTCGCTTGTTTTATGCTCCCTAATGTCCTTTTCGAAACTGTGCCAGAAGTTCGACTGAAGAAAGGAAAGCTTTGTTTGGCAAAACATCCGTATACTTCGGGGGGGGGGGCAAGAAGTATTCAGAATGGCAACTAAAAGCCGGTTGGAAAATACATACAAAGTGTTCCCTTGATCAAAGATTCTTTGCCTAGGAGAGAAAATCCTCCTATGTATAGTGCACGGGATTAAAGTTATTTTCTCTCATTTCAGTTGCACTTATTTTCAATTGGATTGGTTTCATTTTTGCATACTGCGTGACAGACACTATCGCTGGTCGATATGGTGCTTTGTCAGGATTTGGTCTTTCACTCATAAAATGGGTTTTTATCTTAAAGGTAACTGTACCTGCATACACAGTAAAAATAAAACACTGTATGCGACTGTTGTAATCTTTGTTAATTCCACGACAGAGTTACTGATTCGTTGTGAAAAGTGGTGTTACTGTGATACTGTACAGTATGTAAATTGTAATTGTACAGCAGAGTTAATCTAATAAGTGCTGACGCATGGTTCTTGTTCATGCGTGGCGCTTATTCGTGGATAGAGTCATCTATGATTACAATTAAATTAACCCATAAGAACAGTCTTAACTTTATTTTCATTTCGGATGTTTATCCACTCCTAATGTTAGTATAAGTTTTTTAATTTAATATTTAAAGACAGCGCGCGCGTTAAATGGAATAAATAGTATTCCAACAACGAAACTGGGGAAGATTCAGGAAACAAATATTAATAAAATGCTGAAAATATCGATTTATTAACAATACTGTATAGGTGCTTGTGTGATGTTACTCTGAGTGACACACTCAGAGTAACATCACACGTACACTCAGAGTAACACCACACATGCAAGCATCTTATTCACCTGAGTACATTACACCAACACAGCAAATATCACTGTGTAGGTGTTGAAGCTCTGAAATGTTAATGCTCTGACTAGATTTCTGTTAATGCTCTGAAGTGCTAATGCTCTGACTAGACTTCCGGAATTATTTCTGGATTTTACTTTACAATTTCGCTTTTGCAATTTTGGATGGTAGCAACCGACACCGCTATACTTAGCTGGCATGTTGTATTATTGTAATACTACTTACTTGGTAAGATTTTGCAGTATACTGTATAGTTGTGTTCGTGTACAACCGGTCAACACCATACGGCACTTTTCTGTGCATGATTGTTAGCTTTAGATACAAAGTGTAAAGAATAGCTTTGTGAAGTAGCAGACGTGTATTTTATTTTCAGCACAGCAAATGTTGTAAAGATCTGGCTTTCGAGGATGCGTGGCTGTGGTGGCTCTTCGCTCTTCTTGGTGAGTTGAGAATTCTTGGTCAATAACAGGAAAACTCGCCATTGTAACTTTGATCTTTTGATATACTAATTACTGTAGACCCCATCTTGTGCCCCAAATTATAATGTGTGGGGTGGGAGCGAAGCAATTTTATATCAGTTTAGGTTATTGTTTACATATGTATATAACGCCGCTCTGCTATATCTGGACCGTGCTGCAGAGCAAAAATCGCTCCACTTTGGAGGTGATATCAAATATAATCCGATCGCAATAGAGGATTTACGATATAAATTCATACGTTCCCCCTGAACGTTTATTCTGCATATAAATGCAAGGTAATGTTGCGCGAGGTAATTTTTGCTGCAACTTGCAACGCAATTTCGGACATAGAGTAATGTTGTGATAAAAAGTATTAACAGTATACATCATTCTGTGATATTGTTCATTTTCATTCATTTCCTTCGTGCCTTTATGGCAGGTTAGGTGAGGAAAGGGTCGGCGGAGTAAAATTGTGTATTAAATTTTTGAGGAAACTGGAATTACTATTTCGCACATGCATAATCAGTTGAATGAAGAAGTCATGTTTATTTATACAACACAAAAAATTTGAGCTTTATTTAAATACGTTATAGCATGCGTATAATGGTAAAATTATATGTTCGACGCCACCTTTCGACCAAAAGAAATATTCACACTGAATTGTATATTCTCAGGTTGGTTAGTTTTCATCCGTGGAATCCTTGTTTATGCTCAAGTGAAGAAGTCTGTTCGAGCTGGACAAGCCATCTACATACCTCGTTATTGGGGACTGACCAGAACGGAATAAAGAACAACAATTTAGTATTTCGATAGACAGCCATTTCTCCTGGCTAGATTTGCTTGTACGTTAGGAATTTCTAGAATCAACACATAAGAGTGATGCTGTATACTGTATAATATAACTTAGTTCACTTCTGTAGTCCTATTACTGTAGTAGGCTACTAGTAGCAATATTTTACGCAAGCAAGGCACACTGAAAATAAATGTTGGGTGTAAGAAACATATATTAAATATTATATGATAACGTTAAGAATTCAAGCGCTTTCATTGGTCGAGAGCCATGATTTATTAGAGGACACACTCACCGAATTACGTCACACAAACCTTTGTTCTGTGCAGCCAATCACAACACAGCACGTGACTTCAGGTAGCCAATAGCATTCCCTTATTTGTGTAGATCATGTACGGGTGATATTTGTAAAACTTCAACTTTTTCAAATTTCCAAATGTTTGAGTGGCTAAAAAGTAAGCTGTATTTACCTGTTTAATTCGGAGGTTTTCTTTTTATTATATGAAACAAATAGATAGTATCTTAGATACACAGTATGACATCATATTGTGGCAAGAACACTAAAGTGACCCCCTCGCCTCGTGGCTACTTTTTTCTTCCCACATCACGTCATTAAAAAATTTGCTTGGAGTTTTAGGTTAACCTAGGATTAATTAAGCAAACCGGCTTTTGAGAAACCGGCCCCAAAAGTCAAGAAAAAAAGAATGGTAAATACAATCGAAAGCATGTGGAAAAAACGCGAAAAAAAAGGCGTGACAAAAAGGTATGCAGGTAATCGTAAACATTCAATACTTGAAAATGTTTTACTTTTGGTTTCTTCCATTTGTCTAAAACAAAAATTCATGTTTAGCATTCTGTAGTAAACGAGTGCCTGATATTTTCAAATTTCCATACATCCGCAACCGCCAAAAGTTTAAAGTCCAGCGGCCGGTTGTATAAAACTCTTAATCACTTTTTTAATCACTATTTTGTAGTTAAATAGTGATTAACTCTCAAATAGGCGCTTCTTATTAGATGACGATTCCACTTAACTATAGTTAACTTTAATCAGGTTGTGATTTTTTGTTTTATTTGTGTTCGCCCATACATTTACAATTTTTTACTCTACAGTAATACATAAAACAGAAAGGCTAGGGACACACTAGAAACCTATATCGGCTTTTAAAAATTGCCGTTGATAACAGCCCTTAGGACAAAGATTCAAAAACACTAAAGCAGTTCAAAGAAATCAGTTATTTACAATATTATACTCAGGTCCAAAAGGAAACTTCGTAATGTTCTCACTACCATGATCATGTACTATCAAGACATCGTGCTCCCTATAACCACCCGCCCCAGGCTCTCCCTGCGGTATTGTAATATGCGGCTCCATTGAGAGCACCATGTTAGGCTCCAAGACTGCCTCAACGTGCTCACGCAATTCTAATCCGGCCTCACGGCCATAATAATGCGCAAGCACGCCGAACGAATGACCATATCCGAATGTGCGATATTTAAGAAGATCGTGCTCCAGATAAATTTCGTTCAGTTCGTTAGCGATGTCGCAACATCTCGCTCCAGGCTTTATTAGTTCCAGTCCTCGCCGATGTACTTTGCAGTTTATTTCCCATAACTCCATGTGACGATCGCTTGGTACGTGGCCCAAGAATAATGTGCGCTCGACCGCGGAGTGGTAACTAGAGAAAAGAGAAATTGGCTTGAGAGTGTTGAAATTGTGTTTTTAAACTAGACTATATGCACTGGATACTCTAGCTCTTAACAGTTATGTACTGTTCTCTCTAAAGGTCCTATAAAGGCTTTGACTTATTGATCCAGTGTTATACAGGAAGACTACCGGGGTATGAAGCGAAAACCTGCGGTGTCTGGTACAATCAAACCAAAACAGAACCAACTTTATCATAGCGATAACAGTTCTGTCTAAATTGTTCACAATTTACACTATTTCTTTAGTGTTGAAACATCAAGACGAAACTAGAGAATGCACCCGTCCTTTAAAAAAAAGAAATATTATTAGGTTAGCCTGGCTACTGTATTAGTCGTTCTTACCCTGCAGGCATAGGGAAGGAATTCATAACCATGATGTCTCCTTTCTCTAGCTGTCGACTCGTTGGTGAATTGTGACCTCCATCGGAGTTAATACCCGACTGTAGCATTAGCCAAGCTAGGCAATAAAACATGAGCGAAAGGTTAAAGTATGCACCTCCCATCATTGTGAACAGAAAATTGATCGAACAAACACGCGGTTATTCAGGCCGGATATCCTGTGTGACTGGCGGTTTTCCAATTGGCCGGAAAATAGAGGCGTGCATGGGCAGGAAAACTATTCAGATAAAGATCATGACCAAACAACCTCGTCTATCTTGGTTCCATGATTAAAAAGTCCATGGTTGCCATGGCAACACTAACAATTTGCTCCTATTGGTATATATATCGACAGTTCAAGACTTCTGAACTTTCCTGGAAATTATTATATTGCCCTGGCTTAAGTTTATTCAATATCAATTTCGTTGAAAACGAAGGTTACCTAAAATATTCATTTAAAATTTTAGAGAACTGCAGGGAGCCACTTTCTCTCAAGTCCCTCAAGCATTCTACGAATTTAATTGTCTCTGTGGCCATTATCCTAGCTCTTGCACTCTATATGTGTTAATTAAATCCTTAATAAATAAGTTAACACATAAATGAACATGTATAAACCACTTACTATCCCTTAGTTCATGATGACGGTATGTTTTCGCTATTTCTTTGACCATAACTTCAGTTCCCACAAGGGCCACCTCATATTCCCTAGTACCCTCTCTGATCATTTTCTTGGCCGCTTCCGCACCAAGGTCAGCAATCCTTGCACCTTGTCTTATTAATTCCAGTTCTTCATCGGATTTGATCAGGCGCATGCACATTGCAGACTCGCCCACATCTTGAAAGTTTGTGTTCGGAAAAGCATCGGAAAACTTCCGATACTCGTCAAGTGAGACAACATCAAATTCAAGTCCAATATTTTTCACATCACCAAGCTATAAAACATTATTTGTTTGTTAGTGTCCACACGTATAAATTTGTTACAAACCAACATACAATAGTGGACTTATTACAAAATTGCAATTTAAATTAGACAAGGCTGTCGGGGGGTGGGGGGGGGGTCTGATAAAAATCTGAATTGCTTTCGCACTTTTCTAGTTCTTTTGTGTGTTTTGCTTATACCTGCACAAATAGAAATTATTGGGGGCCTCAATCCCCCTCCCCAGCCCCCCCCCCGCTTCCGACGACCTTGTTGTTGCATTACTTCTTCCAATGAATTGGAAAATGGTTTTGGACATACAAGTTGGTCATTTTTGGCTTAATTTTGCCAATTTAGTATGAGATGCTGGGTTACGCCCTCGCATTTGAAGTAATTACAGTCGTGCTTTAAATACTACCTCCTGTTTTACTGCATGGAAAAAATTATCTTTGTGCCAGTCTGTATAAACAATATTGTCTCCAAATGTTCGTCGCCATGGTTGACCATATTCAATACCTTAACAGAGAATATTTACCCACTATAGGGAGCCGAATGAATGGGGATAGGAGCTTTCTGTTTGGGCAGTGAGCTTGGTCAGATCGAAAAAGCGCATTTCACAGGGTCTTTTTAGAGAAATTTAGAACTTCACATACAAGGATGTTACGAAGCATCAGGTGTCTCTTGGAAGTCTATTAAGTTGTGGCGAAGATTTGTCTTACCCAACCACTCACAAAAACGTGCTGCTTCAAACCGCGTAACAGGGAATCATGATTGTTCAGTATATAACCTTAAATTTGCATTTCAGGCAGCAAAGAATGTCGGAGGTCGCACAATCTCAGAGGTGAAAGATTTAGTGTTTCTATGGGTGAAACGTGCTTACTAGCTTGCTCTGACGCTTGCGCCGCCGAAGTCCAATTGATTTAGCCTCAAGCTCAGTTGAATGTGAGAGGAGTCAACTTCCAACTGTTTTCATCGGGTTTCTCCTGTAATCCCCGAGAGGAGCGGACTATTCACACGTGCAAAAAGAGAAGCTAGCGGATCAAAAAGTTCATCAATGTTCGTGGGCGCATGGCTATGCATGGGTGGCATTGATGTGTGGTTATCTCACTGATATGGCGGCTGCCATCTATTGAATGAGCCAGATTTTTACTGACGAGGAAGGTCATTTTATACAATGACTGAGCTGTGAAATTTTGATTGCCAAATATTGTCCAAAACTCTGTTAATTCATATTCTATAAAAGCGTATAGTTTCACCATATAACTAAGAGAAGAATTTTTACAATTGACTCTTTGACTTAAACGCCCTCGCGTGACCATGTTTTTCATTTTTTGCAACTACACAACAATGCCATATAACAAATATGTATTGGCAAACCTCGGTCTTGTTGTATTCACCTCACTAACGCTCAGCAATTGGTCAGTTTAGCAAGATTTCGGTTTGATATTTTCCCGTACATCCCTCACTCCGGTCCGTAAGTTATTAATCTTCACTGCATGCTAACATAGAACAGACTGAGGTCTGCACCAATAAGGTTAATTTAATTTAAATCAAGTAAAGTAACTGGTAAGGTGAGGGGTTATTTTACAATTCCTCGATGTTATAGCTACTTACATGCAGAAACACTGATCGCTTTCTCCTTTGTCACAATATAACCATAATTTCTACCAAATTTACAGTAAAGAAAATCACTAAAATAAAAAACATTGTGATGAGACGTAAACACGCATGCGTCAAGACCAGCTGTTTCCATGTGACGACGTAATGTGTCTTGGCGACGGATCATCTCTTGTGCTGAAAATGTTGGCTGGACCTAGTGAAAAATAAAATTCTCTGAAACAAAGCTTGCAATGATTTCAGACGCCTACCTCGTCTGCTTTCTGGGCGTAGAATATCCTATATTATTATATAGGCAACTACCGGGTATAAGCTATTCTGCAATTTGATTGGCTCTCTACTGGCAGGATATTTAACAATTATTTACCAAAGTGGAGGTGAATAGTGCAAGGATATTCCCCGGTGAATATCCTTGCACTATTTACCGATACTGAGGTAAATAATTGCATGTTTTACATAACGAAAAAAAAATGACCAAAAAATAACGAGAATATTTTTAAAACAATTTGTACTTCAGCTACCGTAATGCTGTAGTTTTAAACAAAACAGTATTTACATGTTTTTAATAATTTTATTCATTAGAAATAGTTTTAACGAATACCGCTACTCACTGTTAAACAAAACTTTGTGACTTTCGATCATCGTGTTTTCTGAAACGGCAGCTTCGTTTTAGGGCCTTTTCAAAATGTCCCCCCCCCCACCCCATTGCCCCC